CCAAAACCTTTTTACACAGTACACACTAAAGGGAATCCAAAAATAACCAAAAGAGAAAATGCCTATCTCCGTCTCAAAGAGACGACCAAAAATATCCCAAAAAACTGAACCCAAGAAATCACTTAAAGGTCCTCGTACTTGCTTTAATAACATTTGTTGGTTCTCCCCTAGATCAGTTCTCTACCTTGTACCAGTCACGATTCTCTTAATCTTCTTAGTTTATCTTTGGTCAAGTTCCACGACCGTTATTTCCAATGACGTCGTTCATATTTGCATCTCTTCGCGGAAGCTCAACGATCTTTATTGTCTCACTGCCGGTTCTCATCCCGGTTTACGTGTACCGGCCAACAATTTAACTAAACCGGTTAGTAGAGATGTGCTAAGAAGCAAAGAAGAGAGGAGTGTTGTTGTTCGTGGTAAAGATGGAGACAAGGGTTTCATAAAGAATGAAACTTTCACGGGAGACAACACCGCAGGAACCAGAGTTTCTGTTCTTGTTCAAGATTCTAAACCAAAGAAAGAGATCAATCCCAATCTCCTCATTGATTGGGATACAGAAACTGGAGAGGAAAGACACCGATACATCAAACCGAAGGACGAAAATGAGGAGAGCGCTCTAAAGTCTTTGGAGGAGTATCTTCAAATACAAAGATCCTGGCTATCTGTGGGTAACAACCGCGGAGATCCAGGATCTTGCGAAGGAAAAGGGGTTTATGTTTATGATTTACCCTCCAAATTCAACGAAGATTTGTTGAGAGAATGCTCGGATAAGGTTCTATGGGCCAATTTTTCCAGCTTCTTGAAAAACGATGGGTTTGGTGAATCTATTGAGAATCTTGGTAAAGGCTGGTTTAGAACACATCAGTATTCTCTTGAGCCTATCTTTCATTCTCGTGTTTTAAAGCATCGATGCAGGGTTTATGACGAGAACCAAGCGAAGCTCTTCTACGTGCCGTTCTATGCTGGTGTCGATGTTTTGAGATGGCATTTCAAGAACGTTTCTAAGGACGTGAAGGATTTTTTGGCGACCGAGGTTGTTAAATGGCTCGGATCGAAGAAATCTTGGAGGACAAACTCCGGGAAAGATCACGTTTTCGTTCTCGGAAAGATCTCTTGGGATTTTAGGAGGCAAGTTAATTTTTCTTGGGGCTCAACTTTCCTTGACATGCAAGAAATGAAAAACCCTACAAAGCTTCTCATCGAACGCCACCCATGGGAGGTCAACGACGTCGCGGTTCCTCATCCAACGTTCTTCCACCCAAAAACCGACGACGATATCTCTAGCTGGCAAAACAAGATCATTGCAAAACCTCGCCGGAGCCTAGTCAGCTTCGCCGGTGGAGCAAGACCCGGTGATCCAGATAGCATCCGGTCAACATTGATTGACCAATGTACATCATCTCCAAACAAATGCCGGTTCTTGAATTGTACCAATGGAGGCTGCAATAAAGCGGAATCGGTTATGGAGCTTTTCCAAGATTCGGAGTTTTGTCTTCAGCCACCTGGAGACAGTCCTACGAGGAAATCGGTTTTCGATTCCCTCGTATCCGGTTGTATTCCGGTTATCTTTGACCCGTACACGGCGTATTATCAATACACGTGGCATTTTCCGGATGATCACCGGGCATACTCAGTGTACATAAACAAAGAGGATTTGAAGGCAAAGAAAGTGAATGTGATTGAGAAGTTGATGTCAAAGACTCTACGGGAAAAAGAAGATATGAGAAGTTACATTGTTCATGAGCTTTTGCCTGGTCTGGTCTATGGAGATTCTAATGCTAAGTTTGAGAGATTTCGAGATGCTTTTGATATAACTATGGATAGTTTGCTCCATAAGATTTCAAAGAATTTGTAAGCTTGTTTTATTTGAATTTTATCATCAATTTCAAATGTAGTTCGTTATTTGAGTATCATTAGGACTCTAAAAAGATAATGTGATTTTTTTGATTTTCCACAATAATTAAAATGTGTTTTTAAATTCCTAATGCAAGGTAGTACGTACTACTAGATAACTTGGTAGGACAAAATATAAAGTCACATTATTGCTAGTTTCTAGTTTGATATTGAAAAAATCAATAAAATGTAGCAAGGATAATCATAGTAAATGCCTTTCTAAAAATAAAATAAAAAGATAGTCATAGTAAATGTTTTATAATAATTCGAATTATGTTTGTATATATTCAAATTCGTGATTATTTTGTATAGATATGAATGTGTTTCTATACTATATTAAAATTTATATACTATATATCATTTAACTAAGTGAATGCATTATATAATAATTTGAATAAGTATAAAAATTTATATACTATATTATCCAAACTAAACGTTGATTATATGTCGATCCAAAATCATGGAACTCACAAAAAATTACTAAAACTAATTACTTTTATGTACCTTATATTTTTAAAATTGATTAACTGATTTTTGTGACATAATATTTGATCTAGTATTGCTTTCAGAGTTTTTGTTTTAGGGTCTAAATGGTAGTCAATTTTGAAATGCTCAAAATAAGATGACAATGTTATAAAATGATTCTAGGCGTCCGTTTAGGCGTTAGGGCCGCTATAGACCGTGGCGATTACCGCCT